TGAATTAGTATCTGAAAGTTCAACTATGCACTCAAGTAAACTGTAAACAAAGGTTTTAGAAAGAAATACACAGTATAAATAAGTTTTTGGTTGTTAATGACCTTAAAATAAAAATGTGTTTTATTGATTCTAAGATCTAAATATACACTTAACTACTGCCATCAAGTTAATTCAGATTCATAGCAACCCTGTTGGACAGAGTAGGACTCTTCCTTAGGTTTTCTGAGACTGGAAATCTTTATGGGAACAGACAAGGCTTTATCTTTAAAGTGATCAAAAGCAAAGAAGTCAAGTTGAGGTTTAAAGTGCACCTGACATAAGCCATGGTATTTTCAAATGCCTCACATACATGTAAAAGTTGGACAATGAATAAGGAAAAATGTAGAAGAAATAATGCATTTGAATTATGATGTTGGACAAAAATATTAAAATTTCCATGGACTGCCAGAAGAGCAAACAAGTCAATTTTGGAAAAAGTGCAGCCAGAGTGTTCCTTAGAAGCCAGGATTGTGAGACTTTGTCTCTCATAATTTGTACATACTATTAAAAGGAACCTGTCCCTGGAGAAGGACATCATGCTATAGGTAAATTGGAGGGTCAGAGAAAAAGAGAAAGACACTCAATGAGATAGATTGACACAGTGGCAAAAACAATGGACTCAAATATAATAACAACTGTGAGGATGGCACAAGATCAGGTAGTGTTTCATTCTGTTCATCACTATTAGTCAGAACTGACTCATGTCACCTGACAACAACAACGGCAGGGAGGAGGATCCAAACATTTTGAAGTGTCATTTGTCTTTTAATCCTGATTTGTCTTTATGGTTCATTATTTATTAATATTAGTAAAGACTCTGGAATTTTTTTTTATTTGTTTAGTAACAATCTAGTACTCTGTTATCTGTTCTCTTGATCTAAATTGTTACTATCTTCTAGTTTAATCTTTGTTTGGGCCTATATGTTGACATTTCTGCTTGATAAACAAAGGTCAAGTTCCTGTTTCTCCTTCAATATGATTGTTCTTCTCTATGTTTGGAGTTAGTAGATTGCCCTGCGACTTGTATCCTCTGATGGATTCAAGAAAAGTCATTAATTTGTATTAATGCTCTCTCCTTCTCTGAACTCAATTATTACAGTTCTGATAACTGTCAGAAGAAACTTTTCATATACATAAAAAAATAACTCTCGAGAGAACAAACAAGATGGCGGATAGGGTGGCCATGCAGTAAAGGAACTCCACCAACAAAAACACAGAATACCCAACCAAGCAGGCTCAGGGGATGGTCCTAGAACTCTGAACCACATATAAAGGAATATTTAAAAGGTTGGGAGGCTCACAGCGGGGAGAATTTGTGGCA